GGGGCAGTATCAGAATCTTGGATTTTTACCTTTAAGTATTTTCAAACAGCAGATTAAAACAGCATTATAGTGCTTTATTTTGGAGGCTTTCTGCGCAGAGAAATGCAGTCTTATCTTAAGCTTGTTTCAATACCGTTCACTAGGAAGAAAAAGAGTCAGTGACGTAACATACGCAATGTTAGAAGTTAGGTGATTTTTGGTAGAATGATTGTCTCAAAATACAATTTTGAAAACAGTTCCTATTGAATAACAAAAACCACTACCAAATGTTACTGACAGATAGGGGTTCAAAGTATTTAAAAAAACAAAAAATTGGTAAATTTTAGCTCGAAGAATTCTCTGATTTATGCCTGATGAAGAATATTCCTGAGTTGTCGAAGCAGACAACCTATGTTGATTTTGAGGCTCTCTTGGTTCCAAAATAAAAAAGAATGAGCCTTAGGATGATGTAATTTCGATAGATATATTGGGAATTACCTAAGATAATAGCAAAGACAAGAATAGTTTAAAAAAAAGATCATACAACTCTAAATTTCTCCAGAGTCAACCTTTGTTTGACTTAAAAATCATAACAGTAATACAACCATGCGTCACTTCATTATTTTGTTTGAGTGAGACCAAATAATATTAGACAGTATCAACCTAATAGGATTTTTTTTGTACCAAGTAGACAATGCTGTCGTTACATTTTCTTGTTCGGCAATGACAACATTCTCTCTGCAAGATTCCAGATTATTATGGGGATTCTAATCTCACGTTTCTCGACTGCTCTCTTGGTGGTCACAAGAAAGGACTATACCAATCAATATTTTTGTAACATGTTGCAGATGTTACCAAAAACCAAGTCTGTCTCTGTGTCCTGAAGCTGTGGAAATTTTGCACGATTAGCTTTGAGCTACATACTGACATAGCTTTTCTCAAGACGTTTATTGTAAAAGGAGCTGTGAAAGAAAGCCTTCAAGGATGTAGAACTCCCATGAGACCCTTATCTCATCCATCAAAGAGAAATAAAATTTTCAATAGGTGCGACTTAAATTCTCAGAGAGTTTGGAACGAAATATTCAGGAGTCGTCTTGAGAATTCATAATTCATTAGAAGAAATTCAGCAACTATTGAGGGGTTTCACGACATTTCTCTTCGGCACTACGATTTGGAGGTTTGACTAAAAAATTTTATCGGACAGAATTTAGATTAGACTGAAACCCCAAAATAAAATTAACCAATAAGTTAAACTGAACCACTATGTGATGCAAATTGAAACCCTCAATCGATAAAATAATAATTGCTTAAATGGCTTTTTCATAATTTTAAAAAGAAAAGATTTGGATTTTTCTGCGTTAGACAAATGAGACATTATGCATCACAATTCTGATTGACTTGACTCGTTTTTCCTCTGTGGTTTTGTCCTTCGCCACGGCAGTGTTCAACACCGTTAAAATGGACAAAAAAAATCCTCTTCCTTCTTTACGATTGCATTAAGAAATTTAATTTCTGGAAGGTACAACAATTACAAAATTGAAGGCTCGGACATAGTGCACTTGATGACAGATGGAGGAAATAAATCATTCTTAAAAGTAAGTTAAAATAGACCCTATTAATGTTACATCACAAGAAAACCATTTACATTGACACATTCTCAGTGGTAGCATTAAAAGAGGTTACATCATTGTTACCGTTTGGATCCAATTTTACACAATGAAAGAGCCCTATGATGACATCACCACTAATAGCGTCTATTAAGTACCCATGGTTCACATGATAAAAATATTGAAGAAAACTTTAAGAGGGTTAATTTCTATGATAGTTGCTCAAGATTCCACCCATTATGAACCAATAGAAAGGAGGGAAAATGAAACATGTTTCAAGGTGCCACCGCATGATTTTTAAGCGGTCCAGCATGCGCTTGATGTAGGATGCAAAGTTTACAGTTCCGCAAGTAGGAAAAAGTAGCAATAACAAGAGCAGGGCCATCAAACGATAAAAAATCCTGTAAACTTTCTGAACAACTTGGAGGAAAATTTGACATTTTTTAAAATATCTGACGGCCCTGAGCTACACTGCTGACCTGAACGCTGTGGGAGCCTTTCGACGTTACCAAATTTCCTTTGATGAAATGGAATCTAAGAATATTTTTTCTACAATTTTAAAGACAATTTTGGTCGCAATCAAATCTAAATTATCTGAAAGTACTAGAGAAAATATTCAAAACTCTCCATGAAAATACAAATTTTAAGGGAAGAAATTTGGCAACTCTCGAACGTTCATACGGCGTTCTTCCTTAGCACAGCAGTATAGTAGTTAGAGATCGCTGAAAAAACGATAAAGGAAACATGGAGGTCACGAAAAACCTATCATTTAGGGACTCAGTGAGAGGCACTAAGAGATTTTCCACCGAAATGGACCGCGTAGGTAGAGTCAGAATTGAAGTACTAAAAATAAACCAGGTTTTCTCATCAAAATTTTGAGCAAAGTATGTCAAACATACCAAAATTTCCAAACATAACTCACAAGGATAATGTTAGCTGTCACAGCCCAATTTGGAATTTAAAATTTTATGGCCAATTCAGAGGGCCCGCATTAGAAAAAAATCCAAATTGATACTGTAAAATTGGCTATTGGGAACAAACTTATCATTCAGCTAGAAACTAAATTTGGCTTTCAAAAAATGTCCCCTTCCTCTGCTGCTTTGAATTCCTGAACTTGTTCAGCACACCGTGAAAATGATTTCATTGTAAAGGACACTGAGATCAGTACAATGCCCGCTTCGATTTGGAAAAACTTAGGTTCTTCAGCAAGCATCAAATTTAAATTAACGATCACAAGAAACACCAACTTCTCAATTGGGAATTAGATTCGAAAACTTTCAATGTATTCACTGTATCGTAAGTAATATTTTGATGAGAAAACGTGTGTCATTGAGTGTGATTTCTGACGCAGAACGGAGGTCCATTACGAGAAACGCTGCTCAGTGATCACCAATCAGAATCAACAACAATTCGGCTAGAGATAATAAATAGCGAGGAGCAGGTTTACTTGGCCGCCTGGTCGAACTTCTGTAGCCTTCGTTTTCGTATATCTTCCTGTTCCGATAAACTACTCGAACTAGAGGATGGTCCAGCTTGCGGCTGGGAGGATGGGCTTGGTTCTGCGCTGAGAGGACTAGATTCTTTGCTACTTGTGCTGGCTCCTTCAGCGCTGAAAAAATAGAAAGTTACTCATTTATTTGCTTAGAGATCAAAGCTTGTCAAGCATTGTCTAATTCTGTTTCACTTTGGTTATTTATTCACTTAGATAATGTTATTTTGCTTCAAATTTTAAAAATTTTTGAAAATTTTAGCGCACTCACTCGCCCTTGGAATTTATGTGTAGGAATGCCTTTTGGAGCGCATTAGGTTCCATCTCAGCAGTCAACAAACTCATTCCAGTGAATAAATTCTAAGTGGAGGTCAATAAGCTAAACAAATTTAAACATTTGATTTATTTTCTGACTTTTTTCAAACTTTTTCTGACCCCATTTATAATTTTCCGTCACTTCAGATTCTGGCACTAGAAAAACATTTTCATTCTGCTAAATTCCAAAATTCACTGTGTTTCTACAGCAATTCATGATCTTTGTGGTGGTGTATTGATGACAGATGCATGAACCCTGAATCACGGCAGAGAGATCATGCAATCAGCATGGCCAAGGCCACAATAAGAGGGATACTTGCTAACATCATCTTGCCTTTCTAAAAGATGCGTGTTTAAATAAGAGCTCAAAATACGCAACTTTGAACTCGTTTTTCATGGGCGAGTATCAAGGGGTGCAGGGAATGCCCAATCACGCGCCTGCCCGGGCATGTGAAAATGTAGAAAAGCCTTCAAAATATGGAGGGAGGGAAAATTTTGAAGGATCATCAGTCGAAAGTCAAAGAAAAACAGACAAAAAGGTAATCTCTTTTTTAAATTGGTGGGAAATTTTGTGGAAAACCGATGAAAAATATGTGGAAAGCCCATGGGCGGTTAAAATGTGGAAGCTTGGAAGATTCTGCACCCCTGTATGTATCATTCAAACCAATTAGAATAGGTTCCGATGAACTGAGTGTACTCAAAAAAAAAGAAAAAATAATAAAATGTTCTGAAGTGCAAGAATTCAAAATTAATGAACAAACTCATAAAGAGCATATATAACAAAAAGAACAGCAAGGGAGATTAAAAAAATAGTTACCCAGGCTGTCGCACATTGGAACTAGAAGTAGAGGCCGCCCCACTCTGTGATGCATTCGCAGCTAGCTCTGCAGTGCTGAAAAGTAATCGTTCAAAAATTAGAATCTGCTATAAAATGCTTCCATTGATACTTGGAATTGAATGATTCTATTTGAAATGATCGAAAAGCTTCTTGGGTTGTTACAATTTTTTTAAAGGGAACTTCTTACTTACTCTGTAGAGTATTTTCCCAAATTTGGAGGCATTATTTATAACAGTTACAGTGCCTTAACACACACCGATTGGACGCAAATCTATTAAATAAAAAAAGCAGGTCTCCTCTTTGGATATTTGGCTTTATCTAACAACAGTATGATCCTCAGTTTTGAACAGGATTTAGCAAAGTGGTTGCGAAAGTCGAAAAATATGAATCTCTACAGCAATATTTAAAATCTCAAATTAAGTATTGATTTTTCAAAAGCTCACCAAACAAAATGTCTCCAAGAAGTTTTCTGTAAGTAAATACATTCAAATGAAGAAGGAGATAATGCACAGGACAGGACCCTGCACCGAATACCAAGAAATTCAAAGCAGGCTGAATTTTGTTAATATTTGATCCAATATGTTTTATGCCCTCCTGAGCACATCAAGCTTTTGAAATTAAATTTTGTTGGTAGCAATGTCAGAGAAAGCATGGCTGAAAAGTGATTTTTTTGACACTGTTACACACATGTTTTGTGGAGAAGTGAAACTGTTGCTAGGTGTGTGTGCGCTGCGTCCCTTGCTGTTATCATTCAGAGGAATTCGATTCTTTTCATCTGCCTTGTCTTCCCAACCAGGATTTTTTCAAATTGAGTTTATGATGTAAAAGTAATTCTTTTCTGCCTCCTGTAGATATAGTTGGATCGCACTTAGCAAAAAGGAACCAGCGCAATTACAGTGTTTTCAAAATTGTGCAACTTCTTCTTTACTTTTAAAAATTCTCAATATATGTTACAGTATTAAAATATACACAATTATTTTCACTTAAAATTAACAATTTTTTTGGTGGAAAGCAAAAAGTTTTTGCTATTCTGTAAGATTTTTTAAATAATTATGAAGAAGAAACATTTCTGAAACATTGCAATCGCTCTGGTTCCTTTTTGGTAAATGCGATCCAGGTTTTCTTGTCTCCGGGATTTTTTATTCTTTTTCAGAGTTGGCACCTCTTTGAAAAGGCACTTCAATTATTTCAGAGAAAAATTATCGAAATAGTGTTCCTTGAGTTTTATTCTACTGCCTTTGTCTCACTTACTTTGCTGCAGAGACATATTGCTGCATCATAGCGACGGATGCATCTAGAAGTAACTGAATGTTTCGGAGACAGCGCAGTCGAGCTTCGATACCCTCTTTGCTCGCCTGTTCCATTTTCCTGAGTTCTTCTTCAGAAATATTAGACAAATCGCTGGGCGGAGTTGGCGGAGGAGGAATGGGCATACCTGAAAATGGAAAAGAGTGAGAAAATTATAACTTACACCAGGCTCACGTTTGGACTGACAATACACAGCGAATTTTATTTGATTTCAGATTCAGTATTTGCACAGGAAATGTCATTTGGACAAAATTTTTAAGATTTTAAACTACACAAAATAGCTTTAAGGATTTACTTTGTCAAAAAAGGGTGAACAAGGGCCTCTGTGTACCTCCCTTGTTTCAAAGGAAAAAAAAAGAGATAGACATTGCTGACAATCGTACTGATGAAATTAAAGAGCGTGGTAAAATAAAATTGAAAACTGATAGTTTTTCATTTTTAAGCCAGTTTTACATTTTTAGGTGAAGCGCTCCTTTACTTTCGAGAATCTCTGTTGAGGAAGATTTGGTTCGGCAGCACTTTACCAAAACATTTAAAAATGGCCAAGAAAGTGAAAAAAATCTTGGTTGACCAATAAAATGTCATTAAGTGAATTTACTCTAGGCTTATTTAAATTGAACACGTTTATGCAAAAGCGATCAATCAACACTTCAGATATCAAAAGAGAATCTGTTTACTCACGGGCTGGATTGGCTTTTAGGATTCAAGGCTGGCGATTGATTTGGATTTTTGATACTCAAGTGCCATCATACATAGAGGACTAAGAGGTAAAAATGGCCAAAGTGCAAAACAACAAATCTCTGTTGCAATGTTTTAAAATGTCCGCTCTTATTTAATTTTTTTTTAGGAAAAACATGCCAATTTAATAGCTTGAAATTTAAACAGAATTTTTGCTAACAGAGTAGAAAAATCAAAGAAGTTTTCAAGAAGTTACGTTGACTAGTTTCCCAAAGAAAAAATAAAGTACGATAGGAAGTCTGCAACGGAGATATGTGGTTGCGCATTTTAGCCATTGATGTGTGTTTTTTTATCTGATAAATGTTATCAATCTTAAACTATTATCTGTGCGTTTCGACCGGGTAAGCCCGCAACCACATATTTCATTTACGGTGCTTGAAGTCTCCGTTCCTATTTTATTTTTTTAAGAAGAACAAATCGACAACATTCCTTGTTGTTTTCACAGAAGTTTCTCGGCATCAATAAGAAAAATTACGGCAGTTTTTAAGAATTGCCATTGGATAGTTTTTTGTTTAAAAAATAAAGTATGACAGGAAGTCTGCGACGTCGCAAACCAAGATACGTAGTTGCGGATTCATGCAGCCATTATGTTTATTTTTTTTATTCCCCTGAAGTAAATGACTTTTTTTTAATTGAATGCATCTGAATAGCAATGGCAGGATTAAAACTTAAAACTATTTGACTCACCAAAGAAGGGGAATGGAGGGCAGAAAAATTGGAAGTTTGAGAAATCTGCAGGCGGAGGTTGCTCTCCTGTTGGCGCAGCGGCTGGTTCCTGCTGAGCACCAGGCTGGTTGGCCGCAGCATCAGCAGCATTGGGTTGGATGTTCGGGGGCTGCTGGGGAATCCAGGGGAATGCGAACGGAGGTGGAATGAATGCGTTGTCCTGTGGACCCATCGGTTGAGCACGCGGTTCAGCTGGGCGATTCTGGTTCATTCGAGGTTGCATTGGTTGCGTTTGTTGCGGTGCAGGAGTTCGCAGAATGTTGAGACGACATGTTGGGCACGTCTGGTGCCGTTGGAACCATGAGCGGAGACAGGACGTGTGGAAAATGTGATTGCACGGCAATCTTTTGGAAGCTGAAAAATGAGACAATCAAATTAAAATGAATCGTAAACTTAGCAGGAGGAAATAATTCTCATTGAATAGATACGACCTTGATAAAGAGTATTGAGAATGTGAGAAACAATTATGTATGACTGAATTTAATTATGGCCGAACAGTATAATGAGTGATTTCCACAGAAAGTTAAAGTAGCAACTTCAAGACCTCGCTACATAGTGTAAATTTTTCAATGAAATATTCGGAATTTTCCTAGCTTGTGTAAAGATCCAAAAAAGAGAACTTTAACGTTTATCATAGATCAAATTTAGATGTTTTGAAAAAATTACAAGAGAAACATATACACTAAGTATTAACTCACAATTGAATGACTTGCTTTGAAAATAGTGTATTTTAGGTTTTTTTTTTTTTTAATTCAATTTTTTTTGCAGAAGCTTATGCTTAAAACCTTTGATTTCGTTTTCTATCTTAAATATTTCAATTCCCAACTGTTACTTCGATTTTTTAACGAAACTGACTTTAGGTAGAAGAATATTTTCAGTGAATCTTTCATTCAATTTTTTTCATTAAAAATTTTCAACGTCTGAGTCAGGAATTAATCAAGACATTTTTAATCGGAAGAACAACACTAGAACTTTTGTTCCCAGCACACAAACTTTCAGAAATATACTTAATCTTACAGCTTTACTGGTTCTGAAGGAAGAAAAAAAGAAAACTTACTGTAAGACCAACTGTTTGTTGTTATTATTGAAAGGTATTATAAAATTACCTGTTTGCATCTCTTCCCGACAAATAATACAAACATTATCGGCATCAGTCAGTTCTTCTGGATTTACGTCTGGGTACAAGGTATTCATATTTCTGATAGCTCTACGTGATAGAATCACATCGATTAATGCTTTCTTAAAGTTCCTGAAATGGTGAAAAAAAGGCAAGAATTATTTTCTTTAGGTTTTTCAACTGAATTACACAAAAATTGGTGAAAAGGAAAAAAAAAAACAAAGAGGACCGTAAAGTCAAAAGGCTCGCAGGAGGACTTGAAACATAAGATACACCAATACTATCAACAAAATAGATTATTGTTACTTAAATAGGTATGCTTCATATAAAAAATTCATCCAATTTTATGACAAGGGTAGTAAGTTTTCAGCTTCAGTTTTCAAGTTGATGAGATTATTTAGCCATCTTAATTTATCCAAAAATGTTCTAGTTAAATGAACTTCAAACCTTTTTCAGGAGATATGTTCAAATATTTTCTCACTTATATACTTACATAGTTGCTCATTTAATGGTATTTTTGAGTCCTAAAAGGCCAATTTAAGTGCAAACAATTCTTCATGCCAATTTTAACTTTGAGCCCCTGAGAATACATACATTTTTTGTCCAATAGAAGCTGTAAGCATTGCATGATTTTGCGCTTATCATTTTCAGTATTTTTAACAAACAAAATTTGAGTATTCAAAAAATTATTCATAGGCTTTTGTTGTATACTTGTTATTTTGTCTACCTTTGATCATGGAGACAATAAATATAACGAGGCAGGCACTTTGTTAACTTTATCGATGATGCCACTTTTTATTTTAAAAAAATAAAAATTAACTAACTGCAAAATGAACTATAACTCACCGCATTGCATAATACATTGGTCTGAATGCGAACAAAGGTAACGTGTAAAATCGAATCATTATAACAACAAAGAATACATACAGTACAACTTTGATGAAACCTGAAGAAAAAGAAATAAAAAAGGAACATTAGTCATGGTTTTGAGATGGATGAAGATATCAGTTTCCAACTTCCTAATTCATAAAATACATTTATGGCTCCGAGAAACCATTACTAAATTGCAAATCCTAAAAATTCGAAAAAAGATAATTTATGCAATAATTCTTTGACATTACCTTGTCAAAATAAATAAATTATGCAAGGGCAGTACTTTCAATGGTTAGAAATAATGCCTCTTCCGTCAGGATGACTCACACTTACAGTGAATAAATAACTCAAGGGCAGAACGCTATCAACTCATGTTATTTTCAACAAGGCCACCTCCAGATATTCTTTTCAGTAAGACAGTCCCATTTTTGAACATTTTATGAGTTGGCTCATAAAAGAACAATGAGTCAATAAAGATAAGTCCAATGCTTTGTAATAATAAAAAAAATTCTTTGAAAGGTGACAAGGAGAATAAAAGTCAGAAATTAACTCAATTGTTCTGGGTATGCCATCATTCAGGGCTACGGCTGTTGCAATGAATTTCTAGCAGTCGTTGACTTTGAAGTATAATTAGTCCAGAAATAAATTCAAGACCTTCATTAGGTTTGAAATTCGGGTGTAAAATTCGAAAATTATACTAATCAACCATAGTAATGACTTGCAGTAATCTATCAAACTCTAAAAGGAAAAATTTTCGAAGCTTTTTATCAAGAAAGAACTGGAAAACAATGATCATTCTTTTCGTCAAACTTACAAATCTTGCTGCACGTTTAAGAGATAATAATGTACAACTCACCCATGACAAGTTCCATGTAGAGTAAAAAGACAGCTTTGTTCTCCCAGAATATCTCTCGGTTCAAGTCCACCGTGTGCAAAACATACTTGACAGCAATGTTGAAAACTACAGTCAAGAGAATGGCATACTCAAACCCAAATACTAGCTGGACTGATGCACCTTTTGTAACGGTTGATTGGTATGCAGCGGCTACAAAGTGCAAGTCGAGGAGTCCCAATACGACGAGAAGCACTAAAACCAGGAGAAAAAACAGATAAGAAAATACAGAAGGAATATACACGGGTCAAATTAGACACAGTAGAAGATTCAGTTCTTGCGAGGGACGCATAGGATAGCTCTGTCACTGCAGTTAATGATCCTAACTCTGTCCAGAGAGTTGGATTTAATAATTTCAGCACGGCCCGTTTTGTTTGAAATTTTCTTCACTTCTTTATTTCATGGAATTGCTTAAAATATTTGCTGAAGGATGTGTTTGTAACATCTGACAACACCGATAACTACAGTTTAGGCTAGGATGAATCGATGGGTACAAAGTTGAAGGATCAAGTTGATTGGAAAATTTTTTCAACAACTGCAGTGAATGATATCCAGAATTAAATATAGTATTGAAGTGTATATTTCTAGAAAAATTTCAATACTATTCGCTCTAAAAACAAAAATTAGACGTTAGTCAATTTCTAAGTTACTTTATTTGTAAAGAAAAGTTAATTTACACCTAGTAGGTGGTTGTAACATGTATTTGAAGAATAAAAAAAAAAAAAAAAAAAAAAAAAAAAAAAAAAAAAAAAAAAACTATTCGCAGCGTCAGGCTTCAATTCATTGGCCGGTTCCAGGATTTTGAATTTTTTTAGCTGTGACACCCAGAAGCAAATTTTCCCTGCCTTACGGCCTTTAGCAAAAAGAGGCGTCATTTACTAACAAAAAACATGATGAATTAATGACCAATCAAAGTTTGATCAGGAGCCATGGGTATGCAAAAATTAAGTTTTTTTAAAACTTTCAACTAGTGAAGGTGTATACATTTGCTTTTTCCCTGTGGAGAAAAACTGAATGAGGAGTTGAGATACCTCCCTTTTTGCAGGACAATAGTGTGGCTCCTACTTGTGCAAACTTTAATAAACCTAAAAAAAATATACTAATACGGATACTCACATAAAACCCGGAAATGGAAGAGATACGATATATTTGGACTCCTTTCCATCTGAAAAAGCATAAACAGCTAACATAAAATGAAAGTATAGCTAGGTAGGACGATCTTGACACCATTTTTAATCAATTCTTTCAAAATAACTTATTTCGCCCTTCCGATAAATTTTTTTCTGTTTTTAGTTCAAAAGATCCACCGGTTTCTGCATGAATTTGAGGTGAATACGCTTTTCTCAGATCAAATAAACACTTTGAGTTGACTAGCAATCAAGCACAGCTGAATCAACAATGCCAAGTTGTCCATTAAAAACCCTCATTTGAAACTTTTAAATTGAGAACTTTTTTTCCAGAAAGTTTGGCATTTACGTGTAAAGCTACTATGCTTGTCAAGTAAGCCATTCAGCTTAATGTGTTTGCTTGTTTGTCACTCTGCAAATGACAGTTGGCAGACTTGCCAAATATACTCGGTAATTCCTTTATCTTAGTTTGTGTGCCATTATTTATCTTATTTATTTCTGTTCTATGGGTAAATATTTTTTCGATGCCTTTTGCAGTATTTGTTATACTGCTTCAGAATTATTCGGTCAAAATGTGCTCTTTACTTATCTTTATGCAGAGTTGGAGTGCATTGAAATATTTGTCAATTTTTGTTAACTGTGTACTTTAAAGTTAATTTTGTTGCGAAACTCTCTAAATTGAGAGAAACTCTCCCTTATTCACGGCTAAAATTAGTACCTCTTGTGAGTTTAAAGAAAAAAATTTCGTAACCTGTGCATGTGAATATGAACTCTGAAAGGTGGTTTTTTGCTTGCTGAGGATTTTTGATGACAAGTCATAGTTGTTCTTGGAAGGAAATTGAAATGGTATTGATTTACATGGTAGGAAAAAGAGAGAGATAACAGACTGTACTCACGAAATCTACTCGGTCTTCTGCAAGCCAATGGAATGACTTCAGAAACAGCACAAGGGTAAACAGAGCTACAAACTTGGGGCTGAAGTCATCTTTGAAAACTGTGAATGCCAGACATGTCTCCGTAATGGCATACCATGATCTTTCAACCAGATGCTACATGAATAAAAAACAAAAAAAAATTTAACCATTAAGAGAAATTAAAGCAAGTTTTCGTTTGTAAACTGTTGACGAAATTCATGAGTAGTTTACAAAATACATCATCAAAACAAATTTTCGTTCTTTGGTTGTGATCAAATGGGTGTGGCCTAGCCTTTCCTGCCAAATTGCCCGTGAGTAAGTGTAATTTAATTTTCGTCAACAGTTTAGAGTTTCGTAAACCTGCTCCGGACCACGTTATCGAACCTGTTGACAATTCTGGTTGAGAGAGTGAAATCCATCAACAGTCCTGTAAACAGGTCACCTGGCTCTGACTGGTTGATGAAATTACCAAATTTGTTAACGGGCAGGACAACTGTTTACAGATTTCGTCAACAGTTAACAAACTAAAATTTACGTTATGATGAGAAGGTTGATTATAGTAAATATTTCACACAAAAGAGAGAGATTTGCATATTTGCTGCAAAGGTGCAAAGAGAAAAGGAGTGGCTCTCTTAATTATTTTTAGTTAAATTTCTTTTCAAAATTTTATTTAGAAAATGATTTGCCCGACAGGGATTTCAAAAATCAACTTCTGCAGAAGATCAGAGTATAAAAAATTAGCGTCAGTCTAATGGCAAAAAGAACAACATAAGGCTATTATAGAGAAGCTTTCCAGAAAAAGGGCTAGTAGCGAAAAATGACGTTGAAGAAAAATGCATTTGAAGATTCCATAATCAACTACTTTCTGGTCACTGACAGTTACATTCATTGGAGTTTGGACTCTTATTTCCAATGTAAAACATTGTCAGTGGCCAGAAAGTAATGGGGAAAACTTCAAATGCATTTTTCACAAACGCGATTTATCAATATGGGCCGTTTCTCCGAAAAGCTCCTCATTTGTGTGCTTTTTGATTAGTGTTAAGAAAACATGTTGACATCTTACTTGAAATTAATTTCAAAACTTTCCGTCACATGAATTGTATTTTACTTAAAACATGATAGACTAAAACTTGAGAAGTTTCCTCTCAAAAATGTAATTTTGGCATTATGTTATAAATTATATTTTATTATTTATATGGCAAATAGAAATATATGCATCTATGATTAGCTTGTGTAAATGCACAGACCTACACTTTCTATGCTGGCCGTAAATGCTTGCAGTTTTATTTTAAGAATAACGATGAGACACTTACCTCAAATTCTGTGGCTCTTAACTGGCCGAAGAAAATTTTTCTCATCAGTTTCCCGAGTAGAATAACAAGCACAAGTGCTTGAATGTATATCACCTGAAATATCAAAGGAAGATAATTAATTAACACAATAACTTTAGCTTTCTAAGGTTGAATTGATTAACACTGAGCACCCATTTTGTCATCAGGGAACATGATAGAAAATAGAACCATGTAATTCTTTCTGTACACTCAAACAATTTGGGTGGTGGAAGGTGGGACTGTCAACCTCCTGAGGTGTAGTGGTTGAAGCGCTGACCCTATGACCGAGAGGTTCCGAGTTCAATTCCTGGCCAGGCGACCCGAGTTCAATGGTTTCATGCGATGATCACTGGGATTGGGGTATCAAGCGTGGTATTAGCCCTGTAGGCTACTTAATTGAAAATTGGTTTTAAAAAAAAAAAAAAATTTTGACAAATTTGGAAGAAAAACCATTATTTGTACTTAGATGGGAGTCTGTGGCCATTGCAGAGGCAAGAGTGCAAACTATTTACAGCTCATCAGCCAAAATAGAGAACTATCCTTTCATCGAGGATAATCAAAGCTATTTTATTAGATCATGGGATGACAACTGCCAACTTTCTTCTGGTTTCAGATACTGTAGTGTCAGCTTAAAAATGAAAAAATCCATGATAGTAGAACTCGAGCTTCAGTTAGAGGTGTTGTCAGCTACATTGGCATTTGTTTGCTTCCCATTTGCACGCAACTAAGTTGCAGTCGTCCAATAGCAATCAGGGATTGACAACAGCAGCGATTAATCCTCACTTGCTATTTGACAACTGAAACACAGTTGCTTGCAGCAACAGAGTAAACAAATGCCAACTTAACTAACAACACCTCTGGAATTAAATATATTGCTACGCTGTGGCTAGTGGTTGTATAAAACTGGTTCAATCCAAATTAGTTGACATAAACATTGGGTGTGTTCATTTCCTTGCCTCTAGTATTTCAGTACTATACTAGTCTCACACTCCTTTCTGCACCCTTTGTGCTCCTATATATGGAGCACTCCGCCAAGTCATTCGTTCAATTTCCAATGGACGCCACCATGACAAATCTAGTCCGACACAGGAGCTCCTGACAGCAACTAAAAAAGGGTCCTCCAAAGAATGGAACTCTAGAACAGGGTGCCTTGTCATTCTATCCCTTGCCTGGCTTACATTAATGAGTTTCGAGAAAGCGGATAGTCCAAACTTAATGTTAAACATAAAACGCTAAACAAAGCATCTCATAGTAGGCTAAAATAAAATAAATTTCCACAGAATTGACACCACCACAGAGGGTCACCTCTCGGGTAAAAAATATAAGTCTCTAAAGAGATGCAGCAATTCAGCTGCACCGCTTCACCAACAACCTCACTTCCAGAAAATTTGCAGTGAACCACAGACGAAAAGCGGAACGCACCCAACCTTATGCAATATTTAACAGCTTAGTCTGAAAGACAGGGAATAGTAATGATGTCAAAATTCGGTCACCACGAATCTCTTCCTAGTTGTAGAGCCATGACAAATCCCCAACGGTTTTCCAAAACAGAAAATTTCTAGAAAAGTGATAAGGCGTAAAGAGCTGTAGGTGGGGGCATGATAAATGGGCTCATCTTGCTGCGGAAGAAAATTTTCGAGTGCAAGTTGTAAGTCCAGGTGCGATTGCTGGGGAATTATGAGAGAGTCTCTGCTTGGAAAAAACCCAAACTTTCAGGGTTGTGGGAACGAAAAAATTTCGGTTTAACATACCGCCATACTAGGGTTGGACTTGGTGATATACACCACCGACGGGTAGAACTGCTGTTTCTGGTAGTAGGCATTGCCAATCACCACGAAAGTTAAGAATACACTTAACAAAGTAACACTGATATGCCGCATTTTAATCATTTAACTAGGTTTTTAGGAAACGAGAGAGAGGAAAAACTCGACACTTGTCATGTTTTCACGGATTTATAGTGACGACGGTAAGGTTTCACTTATGCCAACACACACGTCAGTATGCGGGCATTTTCACGGAACTTGCAGACGAAACTGCGGTGAACTGAGAACGTTAAATAATATAGGAAAGACAGTAGTTAATATTTTAGCGGACTATAAATTGGAGGAATGAGTTATTTCTAGAAGAAAACCACCGTGGAATTGCATTCGATCAACAATAATTGACACATATCTGATCCTTCCTCTTATCTATTTTGCTGGAAATCCACCAATCAGAAATCAACAACGAATCGTCCCAGCTGCTGACACTAAACCTAACTTTTGAAACATTACTAGAAACGGGATTTCTTTTTACGTTCCTTTTCGCAAATAATCGAGAGAGTACACTAATTAAATTTACGCGGCTTCAGAAAATGCATTAAAAATATGTTTTCAAGATTTAAATGCTAAATTTAAGACAATAATTGTTAGCAAAGCGTTCTATTTTCAATATCACTCTGTAATCAGTGTTGGCAGCTTGCTTGAGAAAACTAGGAACAAAAGTAGTGCGCGAAATTTAAATTTGCGGTCCATGAAAATTCATTTCTGAATGCACGAAGGGACTTGCACCCATCCTAATGTTTCGGATTCACTCGCTTGAAACTTTTCTCTCGATATAATTATACTTATAGGGTAGCTTCCGTTCATTACGGCAATGATCAACTGCTGAAATCACAAGTTCGGCTCTTCTCTGAAATCTTATCGGCCTCTCAAAAGTTCTGCGCTGCGCTCGCTCCTCTTAATCTAGTTAATTATCCAAGCGAACGGGATAAATGTAGACTTTTCGGATGGATTGCGCTTCCTGGTAGTTTTATTGCCTATGCGAAAAAATGAAGGCGAATCTAAGGCTTAGAGAGCGTACTTAAAGCTGTGTTTTTCGAATAATTCACTGTTCGCACTCGCCGTCTCCGGTACGTTTGTTGCCTATACAACGAAATTGAAGGAGCTTTTCAGTGGGAGATATCTCCCATCAATTCTTGCAATACTGCCGTGCTAAGAAAGCACGCCGCATGAACCTTCAGGCGTAGCCAAGTTTCCTTCGATAAAATGAGATTTTACTGGTAAAGTTATGAATATTATTTGTCTTCCAATCTTTCAGACAACGTTGTTCGCAGTTTAATCTAAAGTATCAAATATCTGAAAATTTCAAGGACAAACATTCATATATTCCTTCCAAAATAAACATTATATCGGAGGAAATTGGGCAACTCTTGAATGTTCATACAGCGTTTTTCCTTAGCACGGCGGATTAGGTCCACTAAAATTGATGGAACAAGATAAAAGGGGCTCGAACAGAAAACTGACATGCGCTCTCTCGATGGGTTTGTTGCCTATGCGACAAATTGAAGGCGACCTTCGGTAGACGTAGGGCGTTGCGGTTGCCTACCTACCGATAGGCGTACAACATCTTTTATCAATTCAATCACTTCAATCAAAGCTTATCTATCGATAACAATGTTTGCGTGTTTTTCGAATGTATAAGATTTTCGACGGTGTAGGTCCGCAACCATGTATCTCGGCTTGCGACGTCGTAGGCTTCCATTCATATTTTATTTTTCAGTGGCGTGGCGTGAATTGCGATATATCGATCGTTATGCCATTTAAACCTATGGTAAAGAATCGATTATTAAGGTGTTCGCTGCGAACACCCTGATAATCGATCTTTTTCATAGGTTTAAATGGAGGATCAATCGATATATCGCAAAACACGCCACGCCACTGTTATTTTTCAAATGAAAAACTACTCAACGGCAATTTTTAAAAACCGCCGTACTTTTCCTTCTCAGTGCTAAGAGTATTCTGCGAAAACTTCAAGGAATGATGTCGACTTGTACTCTTTTGAAAAATAAAGTAGACGAGATACCTGGTTGTGGACTTACGCCGTCGTTTACGCTCCCAGGTATGCTTGTTAGTTGTTGCCTATCAGGGCCGGATTTAGGTGGTGGCCAAATGGGCCGCGGCCCATGGCGACAAATTTGGGGACGGCAAATTTTGCAATTTTTTCGAATGTAGGTATCGAAAAAAATCGAATTCAGAAAAAAAAATTACAAACGAGAAAATGCGACAAAATCTCTCACTTCGTGAGAGTTAAAATGTAGTGATTTCCAATTTGCTCGTCTTTCGGTGATACAAGAGACAGCACCTTTCATTAGTCTAGTTGACAGAGAAACCAAACACGCAATTTGGCCTGGAACGAGGCGGCGCAGAGAGCAATGATGACGCGGACTTGAGATGTAAAGGAGAAGCCCTCGGTGCGGCGCGGCGGTAGGCATGTAACACGTATTAGCGCCTACAAGACTCCGTGAATACTTCACGCATTGCGTCAAACACAGTACGTTCGGCGCGGCGCGGCGTGAAACTCACAGCGCCTACAAGACTACATGAATACTTCACGCATTGCGCCAAACACAGTGTGGTCAGCGCGGTGGCGGAAATCAAACTTATTAAACCATGTTTTTTCTTCGATAATTTGTTCGTTCATTGTTTATAAATGAAAGACCTTGTCCACACAGAGATAGGTTTACACTGAAAAAAATAGTTCTGTTCACAGGGCTCCTGCACTTCTTTTGTAACAGTCACAGAAGCTTCCGTTATGAGGACAGAGTGCTTTGTTCCCACGACCGAAGTTCTGTTCTCACAACAGAAAAATTCTGTAGGTGTAACAAAGAAACTACAGGAGCCCTGTGAACAGAAGGTTTTGTCGTCAGCACCATCTATTTTTTTCTGTGTACGGAACTTAACTTTCGCGCATAGTTCCGTGAACTTTTGCTAGTGTTGACAGGGCTTTCACAAAAAATGTGCCCAACACGAATGAACGCATCTTATGCACCTCTCCTCTTCCGGCACGTTCACTTGATGGTTTGTATCGATGTTTCAAACGAATGAGAAGGAGGTGGCAAACTACAGGCGGCCCATGGGCGGCAAGCAGGTAAATCCGGCACTGTTGCCTATGTTTGGAAATTAAAATGGAACTTCGAATGGACGTTGCCTAACGATAGGATAAAGCATCGTTTTTTGGTCCGATCAAAACGTATGATGAAGCGCAGTACATAATCAATAAACTCGCGAAAAACTTTTGACTGCAGTCACAGGTCTAGATGCTTTACTAAAAATTATAATTGTAATGATTGATTTCATTGATTGGATAAATTTTACTGAAACTCAGCGTGATAATGGACCGAGATTGCTTCGATCGAAAAATAAAAACCAACTTATTAAATCTCTATTATTTCTCGATCGAATCTATGTCGATCGGTTCACGTTCATAAGTTTCAATCGATTCTTATTCTATTCTTCCCATCCCTCGTCTCATTTTCTTATTCTCCCCTTTTTTTCTTACATTTCTATTCTGCTCTCTCTTTTCCAGGGCCGGATTAAGGGGGTCGCCACATGGGCCGCGGCCCATCGCGGTAAAATTAGGGGGCGGTAAATTTTGCAATTTTTTTTTTAAAATGCAGGTACAAAAAAATCGGATTCAGAAAAAAATTACAAGTAAGAGAAGGTCACAAAATCTCTCATTTCCTGAGAGTTCACTAATTTCTAATTTTGTCGTATTTCGGTGATACAAAAAGACTGCGCACATTTAATTAGTTGAGTTACGAGCAGGGGCGTAGCTAGGAAATTTCTCTGGGGGGGGGGGGGCATGGGACCACCTCTCGTGGTGAAGAGAGCGGGGGGGTGAGGAATGGAGGATCCCGTTTTTCTGGGGGGGCCACGAGATTTCTGGGGGGCAGCCTAGCTACGCCCATGGTTAAGAGAGAAACCAAACACATAATTTGGCCTGGAGCGGCGCGGCGCAAAGGGAAATGATGACCAGGACTTGAGATGAAAAGGAGAAGCCCTCGACGCGGCGGTCGGCATGTAACACATATTAGCGCCTACGAGACTGCATGAATACTTCACGCATTGCGTCAAACGTAGTGCGGTCAGCAGCGGTCGGCGCGGCGCGGCGCGGCATGAAACGCACAGTACCTACAAGACTACATGAATACTTCACGCATTACGCCAGACACAGTGTGGTTAGCGCGGCACGGCGGCGGCAGTTAAAATTATTAAACCACACTTATGTTTGTTCTTTCTTAATTTTTTAGTTCATTTCTTACAAATAAAAGGCCTTGTCCCCACAGAGGTAGGTTTACGGAACTGAACTTTCGCGCGAAGTTCCGTGAACTTTTGCTAGGAGAGTTGACAGGGCTTACGCAAAAAATGTGTCAAACACGAGTGAACGCGTCTTATGCATCCTTCTCCCTCCGGCACGTTCACTTGATGGTTTTTATTGATGTTTCAAAATGAATGAGAAGACGGCGGCAAAATACAGGCGGCCCATGGGCGGCAAGTAGGTAAATCCGGCCATGCTCTGTTCTTCGTCCTCTATTCCTCTTCTCTCTAATTCATTTTTCTTCCTTTTTCCCCCTCCTATTTCTCTTTTCCTTTTATCATCTCTCATCTCTCATCGTTTCTACAACAAAATCGCCTGCGAAGACCGTCTGACAATTATTATGCGGGATGGTAAGTGCCACAATTCGACCACGTAGGAGATTGTGTTGCCTACACTAAACATTGTAGGTGGACTGATAGGACGTTAAGGTAATCTCTTACCGTAGAGAAAAAAAGGAGGTGTTTGCATTTCGGGCATCTTGGAATTTTTTTGATGACGTAGGTCGGCACGGCGACTTTTATCATCGAGTTTCTTGGAAATGGTGTAGTTTATGGAAAAATGCATTCTACATTCAGTGTTTGAAATTATATCATGAGTTGATTTCAGCAAAATAAAATCGGACGTTATGGTCCGTTTTTCATACTTCGAATTCCGGATTTTGCTGACCAGGTTGTGCCGACCTGCGTCACAGGGTACACAATCCTCAAGATGCAAACACCTCCTTTTTTTTCTCTTTTGTATGACCCTTTACGGTTTGGTAAAAAAATGTGTTTTTTGAGCGTTTTAAAATTCAGTTTTTACAGAGTGAACCACCGAGTCATATTTTTTTGAATTTTTACTGATTGTTCTTCATATACTGCTCAGAATATTCCTCCAAAAGTTGAATAGCTTTCGCGGATTTTCCTTCGAAAAAATTGATTAAATAACAGCGGAAATGTCAAACGTTGCAACTGAGGTACGTTTTTCGAGACTTACACCACGATGCTATCAAAAGTGCGGTAAGAAAACTCCTCTGATATTACGCATTGTCTTGACAATCAAAGAAAAATTTCCCTGACTATGGGGAAGATGAGCCATTCATCTCATCCTTATATGATATTCTCAAATATTCATACGGCGTTTTTCCTCAGCCCGGCAGTATGCATAGCTTCGGCGATGAAGGCGTTTTATGCGCTTCGTGAAACGATCGCGGCTTGCTTTGACAAGCTATTATCACACCCTCGCCCTCGCAAAATTAATTTATACCTCAAGCTGCCTACATTTCGGAAAATTCTTTAAGCTTCCTCTTTTCACTCGAGAAGTGCATCTTTAAGACATGAGGTGGACATACAATTCAAAGTAGGCGCGTAGAGTTGTCTGGAAAAAATTATATAGTAATTTGCATTCAGTTATTGTCAATGGGATCATACACTGCGAAGTTAAAAATCGACGAAAAATAATTTGATACCGAAATATACTTAAATAGTGAAGCTAAAAAAGAAAAATTATGAGTTATGCGACAAAGAATGCTCCCAAGCGCTCTCACTACAATAGACGTTTTATATTTTGTCACGGATTATGCAACCGTTTTTGTAATTCGTAAAAGTTTGGTCGACCCCCCCCCCCCCCCTCCCCATCCCTCATCACTAAATATTTTTCGCTGGCCAAAGTTCAAAACCGCGTATATCCATTGCTATGTTTCAAAGTTTCCGCCCCTAATTTATTTTATCGTGATGAAACAAGCCACCTCCATAGCCTGTAATTCATACAGAATATTCTGTTATAATAACAGTGGAGAAAAATTAGGGAAGTTTTCTAGAAACTGTATTAAGTAGCATTCCAAAGAAAAATTAAAGTACGACTGGAAGTCTGCAACGTCGCAAACGGAGTTACGTGGTTATGCACTTTGGTCATGGATATATATTTTATATTTACTTCTTCGTGTGTCTACTAATCAAAATTACTGTAAACTTGGTTACAAGTTGATGTAACAGGTCGCTAAAAAATGTGGAACGCTTCACGATTTTGCGTGTCATCCTTGCGCAGGGGCCATGCTAATCTTCTCTGTATCGTTCCAATTTTAGTATATGTACCGCCGAAGCGAGTACGAAGAATAACAAAATTTCAACCGTATATAAGACAACCCTTAAAATGGACACAATTTTACCTCCGATTGACGGATCTTTGGTTCTTTATAAAAACTTGTAATTCATAATTTTGTTATTTCAAGGGCGTTAAACTTGTGAGAGATATTTTTTCCAAACATTGATACCCAAAGATAAAAACTTTTTGGCCAAAAATTGACGTAATATTAGCGGGCATGGATCATGCATCGCACCAGAGCGTTATACAAAGGGGGTATGAATTATGACAGGTAACGCTACCTAGCGGTCAGTAGCATCAACTGCTCTGCGGCGGTGTTGAAGCGTAGTGTTGAAGTGAGACAAATCTTTACCACCTCGCTGACAATTTAAATTTAATTAAAAAGAAAAGTCTTTTTCATTTGATTAAATCTAATTCAATGTAAATTCTTTTAATTTCAGGTACTTTTCTACCGCATAATACTTACGTTCTCAACTCTTTCAAAATTTATTTTCAGGATGTTTTAACACTCCACTCTACCGTGCCTCATTTTTTGCACGTGATTTTATGATTTTTTTGTTTTTTGTACCTCGAAGATTTGGGTTTTTTTTTATTTAAAGCCGCTCAAGGATTTCATGTAAAACTTCAAGCGACATTCTCTCGGAAAATAAATTATGAGTAATAATTTTGGAACACCGCGATTGGGAAATATATTTCAAAGTTTCTCGATCGGAAAAACATCGTGGGATCCTAATATTCGATATCGTCATTAAAAATTGTAAAATTCCTCTAAAATGCCGATACGGTGTTTCAAAATTTTCGCTATCACCTTTTGTTGTTACCCAAGCAAGCCGCAAGCGTCAAACTATCACTTCGATACCTTTACATCTTTCGTAGTAGCAAAAAAACATAGGTTTTACATCTTCAGTACCTATTTTTATTTAAAAGCTAATGCATTGCATTCCTTGTGTAAAAAATGTAATTTTTTTGTTCGTTCGTAAAAAAAATACAAAACTCAGCAAACACAATGCTCCCCCCCCCCCCCACTCCCCACAACTCAATAAAGTTCTCATCCTTCTGACAGGGTAAAATTTGACATAATTTTTACGATTTTTTTAAAAGTAAATATATGCATGCGATATACTATCTTTTCTATCTAGGTTTCCTAGATAAGGTACCTGCACAATCAGCGGATCGTCAAAAAATGCGTATCTCCGATGCATCATTCAAAAAATCTTCTTTTTTTTTAATTTTCCAACAGAGTGCCAATAAAAATTGTTTGTGATTTCATATTTTCTATGGGGTGTAGGTATCCAATTTCAAGAACAAGAAAAATTTTCGGCGGCCAGTTTCCTTATTCTCTTGAAATAAAAAAATAAAAATGAAATAAAAATAATAATGTTATGTTGTAATCTTAAGCCTTCTTGCTGTTTTTAAATTCTTGTTAATGGGCTTGCCCTTGAATTGTAAATGGTTAAATAAATAAATAGATGGATAGATGAATAAATAAAATAAAGGTCAAACATCAGCAAACATTTGAAACGTCGAAATCCGCTTTTTTGATTGGTATAAACTTGACAACCGTGAGTTGAAAAACTAGTGTCTTTATGCAAAAGTTGGCAATGCGCGACAGCGTTCGGCCATTGTTGTTTACTCTCTCCCCCAGTCCCCCATAGCGCCAGTGGTTCGCGGATTTTCATGCTGATAAGTGTGTGTCGGAGGCCTTATTTCATTGATTTTTCACCGTGTTTATTTCGGTTGTTTACCTGTCGTCTCATTATCATATCACAGCATGCAAATTGAAGATGCGATCACATCATATCAGTACGAGAAAGGGAAGTCAAGCGCGGTCATAGACGTTCGTGCTTGTACCAAGCCTACCGTCAAAGTAAGTCACAAAGCTCTTATCCTTTGAAAAGTTTTGCGCTCGCATTTTAATTTTCTGACTCGAGCATCGTCATATTTTAAGTTCAACTCCATGCAAGTCCACGTATCTTTCAATCCTCGTCGAAAATTTTGATAGGATTGATTATTTTATTGGTTTTCTCAGCTCCTGAAAGTTGTTCGAAATGATTTGTTTTGGTTCCTTATCATGTCCCAGTTGTCGCACCCTCCTCGTGGTATTGTTGTTTTCTTGAGGTAAAATGCTCTTTTATTGTTGAATTTTTGCTCCCTCCTGCTCCAAGCCGATCAATAAGTTCATTAATTTCTGCGGAAGATATGAATTCATTGATGGGTACGCTCGATCGTCATTCAGTGTAATTAGACCTATTATTTCCCCTTCCTCTTGTTTTTATTCTCTACACTTTTGCCAACACCCTTCCTGTATGACTGTCTGTTTAAGGATGTTGGCAATTCTAAGTGGTTGAGATGGATGTTGCTATTGTTCGACTAGATCTCCACCGCTCCTTAATAGTTATACTCGGTAACTACATATCTTGGTTTGCAACGATGCAGACTTCCCGTCTTGCTTTATTTTTCAATCAAAAAAATTATTGACATAATCTCTCATTTGTTATAATTTCTCCTTTCTGAAGAACACTTTACAAGTATTCCAAGAAAAGAAGTCAACCTTCTCTTTTTGAAGAAGTGTCAGCGGTGTAAATTTTGAAGCAACGTACCAAGATATGTGTATTTGAGTTTAGCCAACTTCCTGCTCTACTTTCAGTCGAACACTACCTAGCCTTGTAGATCTTGTACTACTGCCATATTACACTTCAGATGGCTCCCTTTGCTTTTGTGGGGCATCTTATAAAAGTCTGTGTATAGGGGTGCTCCCTGTTGTATACTTGTTGTACCACATCTCAAGCATTCCGTGGAAGCATTCTTTTTGTGGAAAGTTAATAGCACCTTTCCCTGACTGTACTTTTAACAAGCTCTTCGCATCATGCTGGCACATCAAGAGAAACCTGCAGTTTCTAAGGAAAAAATTCAGCATTTTTCTTGTATTCAAGGGGGTAGTAAAATGTATTCTTCACTTAAAATCAGGTCCAAAACAACAAACCTTACAGCTTTGAAAAACTTCAACTACCCATATAATTCTTTAATTTTTTTTTTTTTTTTTTTTTTTTTTGAATGGGAAAATTCTGAGATTACCTACATAAATGAGTTTAGTTAGAAATAAATCAGTGGATCCTAGAGATTACAAAAAATGAGTTTAGTTAGAAGTAAATCAGTGGATCCCAGGGTTGGTCTAAATCTTTGAATTCATTTGTTGTTTGTGTTAGCAAATGAGTCCTTAATTTACCTCAATTTCCCTGCCCCCTTTATTCTATTTTTTTTTTTTTTTAATAGCACCCCATCCTCGTAATTTTATTTTTTTTGATCATGAATAATCCACTTAACTCCTCCATCCACCTTTTAATGGCCAAAATTGATTTCCCACAAAATTAAAAAAGTAATAAACCATTGGGTCACAATCGCCCGCTCAAACATTTTTTTGAAAATTATCTCCAGTCCCTTCATGTAGATTTTATCACGTATTACGTTCCCCTGAAGATTTCTAAATAATATGCAGTGCGGTTTCCACAACCATTCTCTCATTTGAGGATTCTTAGTTCTCTTACAAATGAGATCCTCTGCTTCACTGCCCTGTTAAATGGACCGATTTAAGCAGAAAGGAACCAAGCCACATCACCTATTGCCAAATTTAATTGGGCAATTTAAGGAATTTTTTACACGGAAGCGGTTGTGCGGATTTTCGTGTGAATTTCAGTGAATTTTCTGCATAAAACGAAGCAAATTCCTTGAAAGTTTCATAGGAATCTGCACAAGGAATTGAATAGCCCAGTTAAATTTGTCGATACTGCCGTGCTAAGGGATAACTCCGTATTAACATTCGAGAGCTGCCGAATTATCGCGTATAAAACATGTATTTTTAAGGAGAGCAATGAATATTTTCTCCTGAAATTTTCTGATAATTCAGCTCTACTTTCAAAGAAAATTCTACAAATAATTGAATGGAAAATGTTCACGAGTTTTTCTGAAAATTCGCATTGAATGAAGTAAATTTGGCAACTGACGAAGGTTCATACGGCGTTTTTCCTTAGCACGGCAGAAAACTGCCTTGCTCAGGAAAACGCCGTATGAACCTCCAAGCGTCGCCAAATTTCCTTTGATAAAACACGAATTTCCTGATAAATTTATGAAAATTTTCCCTTCGATTTTTCAGATAATTTTGCGCGCAATTTCACCCGAAGTCCCTGAAATTTTCAGGGAAAGATTAGAGTCCCTTTATACCCAGAGTTACGACAACTCGATTATCAGCTGACTGACAGCCGGCCTTGGCTGGCCATGGAGGCCGAAACGAGTGCACCCAAACGAACGATATTGAGGGATAAGGACCAGGAATCCTGCGATGTCTGTCACACAAAAACAACAACATCAACAAACTGATCAATTAAAAATAAAATGAGATTGGTTTGTGAAAAATTTCTTAATCTATTTTCATTTTGGACCGATGGAAATAACAATTTACTCTTGATAAACCACAATTAGGTAATATTTTCATTATTCTTGTTCACATACGAGGTACCGCCATCTTGGTGCACTCGTTTCGGCCTCCATGAGCGAGAACCAATCAGAATTGGATTTTTTTTTAGGCCACTTTCAGCCCAACCCTGGCCCAACCAAAAGTGAGTTGTCGTAACTCTGGGTATAAAGGGACTCTAGGAAAGATATTCTTAACTTACCACAAAAAGAAAAACATTTCATCGAAGGAAATTTGGCAACTCTCGAATGTTCATACGGCGTTTTTCCTCAGCTCGGCGGAGTAGCTGATGTGGCTTGGTTCCTTTCTGCTATACGCGGTCCTCATAGTTAACGACAGGGAGAAAATTGGTCAAATTACATCACTCCCTAAGATGGTCAAAGCAGGGTCTAAACCCCAGTCGAGGCCGTACTCTTGCAAGGTCATAAAATTCTATCAAAACTTTCTTTCGAATTGGTTTTGCTATTTTCCTGCCATGGCCGGAGACTTTCTCCTCAAACTTAGTTCTGGTCCGAAGCTTCTCCCCTCTCTATCCTCACTCCCCCCGCTGTGGCTCTTACTCTCTGTACTTCCTCATTAAATCTGTCTCGGCTGCGCCTCTAGTAAATAGTCATTCGTTGTATGTTCCCTCTGTCCGTGCTCGGTGCTTTGTTTGTGTGTGGTTTTGTGCATCGTGAAACGTGCCGAGTGCCAGGTGATTATGCTCTCTTTGATTTTCATCATTTTTGTTCGGCTCTTACGACGGTTGTGATCAGTGTTCTGCCTCCCCTCTAAAATTCCGGAAGCCACCCGATTTTTCAGAGCCCACTAAAATTTGTTTTGGAGCATTGAAAAGAAATCCGGCCGTGGAATCCGTACTCACGGGCCGTATAGACGTACCCTGTCCGCGTTCCGAGCTCCAGACCGAAAGTTCCGGGCGCACCACCCGGAGCAATCGAAGCTACGGCTCCAGCCAGGGTTGCCAGTCAGGGAAAATGACGAAAATGTCCGGGAAAAATCCTTAAGTCACCCTTATTTGCTGTGTAGGAGAGGTTTGTCGAGCAGATCAACAAAGTTGTCTGAAAACTATTTCTAATTTTATCTTTTTCACCATCTGGCATATTTTCAATTGTCACAGAATTTCACCAAAATGTTTCACACTGAAAAAAAATTCTCGGCGTTTTTACGAAGGTCCGTTGGTACCTTTACCATCTCACTTTTTTTACCAATTATTGGTAATTTTACCAAGACAGACTGGTAAGCTTACCCAAAACCCGGTATTTTTACTGTTTTTTCCAGGTAAGAATACCACTTTTATTGGTAATCAATTCCCGGTAACTTTGCCATTTTATCTCGGTAATTCTACCACAGTCGATAAAAAAATATTGGCGTTTTTCCCAAGGTCCAGTAAAATTACCGAGAAAGTTCAATAATTTTACCGAGATTTCTCAGTAAGATTACCAAGATTACCATAAATGGTAATTTTACCCAGAAAAAACTGGGATCAAATAGAACCCTGAATTCTTGGTAATTTTACCCTTTTCTTAGTAAATACACCGAGATTTTTTTTTCAGTGCAGGGAAATGTCAGGGGATTTCATCTTTTAAATTCTGTGGCTACCCTATTCAGCATCTGAAACTTTCGGCCTTTGAGCCCGAAACGCACAGTATGTCTAAATAGCCCGTAACTTTTTTTTCAATGCTAGACAAATGAACTTTTTGCACACGCATTGCAATGGCGAAACGTGAATGATCGACTATCGACATTTCCCCATTTGAAGCTATGGTAAAGAATCGATTCTTAAGTTGTTCGGGCGTTGCGAACGCCCTATTTATCGATCCTTTTCCATAGGTTTAAATGACAGATCAATCGATATATCGCAAAGCGCGCCACGCTACTGATACGCATCATGCGCCGCCGCCGCTTCACGATTACGAGTTTTAAAAACTCGACCCACAGTGGATCGAGTCAATTAGAGAGGTCGGACATGTAATTTTTAACTAATTGTAAAACTGCAATTTTTTTTTTGGTTAATTCGTCACATTTTAAATATTGAGGGATGCTCCTGGAAGAAAATTTCACGAGGAAACTACTTTCAAAACCTCAAAGTTTAGTATGAACGGATTTATGAGTTTTTAAAGTTTCAAAATTTTGTCCGATCTCTCTCATTGACTCAATCCGCTGTGCGATGGGGTGCGTCAAATTTCCTAGGCGCCACTGTGACCCCGTGCTAAGGGAACACGCAGTTCGAACCTTCAGGCATTGCCAAATTTCCTTCAGTAAATTACGAATTCATTGGGAAAGTTGTAAATATTCTTCTTCTAATTTTCCAGACGATTTCTTTCCCAATTGATGATAAAAGGTCCGAAACTTCAAGGGAAAAGATGCATAATTTTCATTCGAAATGATTTTTTTTATCG